GGTGCAGTAAGTAAGCAAGTGGAAAGAATAATTAAATGGACGGTTTGCAGGAAGGGTCAGCCTGCTGCTGGAAGACGGGGGAGAATAGCAGAAGCATCATGGGTCTGATGGTTCCCCAGACACAACCCTTGAGATGTGGGCCAAGGGCCACCTGTGGGCCTTGGAACTCCTGTGTACCTCAAGGCCAGTGTGCTCCTGATAAGGTAGAGAACCAGAAAAGACTTTCCCCTGGCATCTTTATGACTATTGATGGCTCATTTGCATAAGTGGGTATGCATGGTGGTCAAAAGGTATTGCACTTATATGTTACTTTGCTCATCACAGCTTCAGATTAAATGGGCGAAGAGGCATGTAGGAGAATGACCAGTCTATCCTTACTAAAGACTCCTAAGCAACCATCACTCGCTTTGAATCCCAGCACTGAGGAGGCCGAGGCAGGTGGATCTCTGAGTTCAAAGTCAGTCTGATTTACAAAGTAAGTTCAGGCTGACTAGGGATACGCAGTAAGACCCTGTCCCCACTCCCACTCCACCCCCAAATCCTAAAGAAATGACTGCACTGGAATTCACATTGTGCTCAAAACAGATTAATATGCAAAGTATTTCTTAGGTTCTGAGACTTGTTCTTTAGACTTCCACTTTCAACTTTGGGATGGAGCTCCCTGGTAGTTGGTGCTGAGGAAGATTTAGTGTTGAGGGTCTTGGGTCTTGGTATTTTCTAGAATTATCTTATAAAACACAGCTGTATACTGGCCCAACCCCAGTGTTTGGAAAGCTTTGTAGGTATGGTCACACCATTCCCAGGCAGAACTCTGCAGGAATGAGCTGTGGGACAAATGCCTTATGTTTCCTGTGTCTGCCTCCTCATTTCAAGAGAGAGTGCTAGCCCTTGCCTTTTCTGCCCCAGAGGGCTGTGAGGAGGATCAAAGAATAAGGACTCCAAAGTGTCTCACAGTCCTGAGGGCAAGACCGGTTCTAGCTCAGAGTTTCGCACCTGTGCGGGAACAGAAAGGAAGGGAGCTGAGGTTGCCCGACTTCTCCCATTCTCACCCTCTAGACAGTGGGGCAGATAGAGTCAGGGAGGTACGGGTTACGAAGGAGGCCCTGTCTCCACCGTATTTTGTCTTCCCTCTCCCCTTAGGAACTTCCTGGAACACAAGCAGGTAAATCACTGAGGAACAGTGAGAGCTCCAGGCCACAGTCAAGGGTTCTGTCCCAGCCTGACCTTGTCCTCTGGCCAGCCTTAGCCAGAGCTTCCTCCTCTCCAGCCGGATTCACCGGTCCTTGGAAACTCATCGGTCTCCACAGAGAGTGCTAATGGATAAGGCAGGAGTAGAGGAACAAAGCCAGTGTGCTTGATGGTGGGGAGAGAAGGTGGAGCCACTGCTGGGGTGTGAGGTTGAGAGAGCAACAAAAAGCCTAGATTCCCCAAGAGGGCTGATGGTGGAGGGGGAGCCAGGAGAGGTAGTGCTGGCCTGTGCCAGGCTGAGCCTGAGTGTGAGTGATCCTGGGATTCAGGCTGTCAGGCGCTTAGGCCTCCCATGGGCCTCTTGGGATGACTGGGGGCTTGCTATTCATGTGCCTTGACGTCAGTGCTCAGACCTGGCCAGCGCTGAGCTGGCTGTGTTGGCGGCAGTTCATACAGTAGATACTGCATGGCCTGATACGGAACCGTACTCATTTCATCAGAACTCAGCCCACCGGGACCCTCTGCGTCCTCTTGCCCCTCCTGCTCTGGGCACCATCGGGGCTTCTGGCAAAGGGTCCGAGAAGGAGGGGAGGAAAGACACTGTCCTTGGATCTCAGGGAACTGAGCATCAGATGTGCCTCCCACAACAGATTTGGGTCCAATGCTTCCTGAGGTTGAGCCCTGGGAGCCCCAGCAGGACAGCTGGTTTCACTGGAAGACTTTCTGCCAGAGCCGTTGGTTTTAGCTTGAGAAGGAGGGCCATGGGGCAAACTGCTTAGCCGACAGCCAGGGGTGGGTGCTTTGGCTTTAAGGTGTAAAAACCAATGATGGGCGGTGCTAATGTACACACACACACACACACACACACACATACACACACACACACACACACACACACACACACACACACACGGTCCAGTAACTGGAAGCAGAAACACAGCAGTGTGAAAGTCAGGCATCCTTTCGATACCTGGTTCTCATGCTCTTTTGGGTGATGCTGGCTTCTCACTCCCATTGGAGTCAGAGATTTTTTACTTCTGTTGTCATTCTCCGTGTAGCACTGGCTGTCTGGAACTCACTCTGTAGACCAGATTGGCCTTGAACTCACAGAGATCTGCCTGCCTCTGTCTCCTGAGTGCTGGAATTAAAGGTGTGCGCCACCACTGCCCAGCAGAGGTTCTTCTGAGAATATCAGAAATAAAAGAAGAAGCCAGACCTGGATCTCTTTAGCTCAGGGTCATCACTACAGCCACCATCGTCTCCACCTTTGTCATCACAGAGCAACAGGAGCCCGTGGGAAGTGTTTGATACAGCAGAGGAAATGCTACTGCCATTCTGGGGGAAGGCGCCAGGTTTCAGAGGCCCAACCAAAACTGGAAGCCCCAGTGGAAATCCTCCCAATGCAGAGGGCTGGGAGTAGAAGCTTTGGGGTCAAACTGTTTGTCTTTGGCTTTGTGTGCTGGGATTACTGAAGATACGTTTTTATTGTTGTTGCCAGGGTTGCCTCATGTATAGTTTAAATGTGAACTACTTAGGAAGGGGAGGAAATAAAGAATCAGGAACAAGGTGACTCCATGTGTTGAAAGCCACAGGAAAGGAGAGGAGAGGAAGTGGTGGAGACCAGCGCCTTTCGAACCATAGCAATGTGTAAATTAGTCATCTGGGGCATCTTGTTAAATAAGTATTCTGATCCATGCATCTCCAGAGAGCTCTGGGGTGATGCTGAGGAAGAAGCTGGTCTCTGGGTCACACTTGGAGTAGTGATAACCCTGCTCAGAGTCAGGCAGTCTCCTTTCCAGGTCAAAAGTCAAAGGTCCTCAGCCTGTTACTAGCCATGGGACATATGCAGGGCCCTGAATTTCAGTCTTCTCACCTGTAAAAGGAATCGAAGTAGCTGGGCAGCTGTGGAGCACGCCTTTAATCCCAGTCAGGAGGGAGAGGCAGGCGGATCTCTGAGTTCCAGGACAGCCAGGGCTACACAGAGAAACCTTGTCTCAAACAAAACAAAAGAGGGAGAGAGAGAGAGAGAGAGAGAGAGAGAGAGAGAGAGAGAGAGAGAGAATACTTACTTTCCAGAAGCAGGTAAGTCTAAATAAATATTTTCCATTGCCTATCATAATAAATAATTATATGAATATATCTCATATTTTATACATCTTACTGCTCAGAGGACTGTCAGTTTCCTTAGGTTAAAACAAATTCTTGCCACAGATTCTTCTCAGAGACTAGGGAGATAGAAAGGCAGGGGAAGGAACTGGGGAAAGTAATATTCAGTTCCCTCGTCCTGCTGAGACTAAGGAACCAGGAATTCTTACTGGTTTCCTCATGTAAATGTAGACTTCTTCTGGAACTTTCTGTAGGGCAGGCAAGGGTCTTGAGTGCTGAGAACACACAATTAAGATCCATCTTGCTACCCAGGAGCATGATCCTGGAAAGAGGGCGCATGCAGTCAGGGACTGGGATCCCCACGAAGGTTCACCTTGTGAGCTAGGAGTCGGCAGTTCTGGGTACCAGTCACCTCTTTGCCACATGGCGGCCGTGAGTCGGTGGCCAACCAAAGACCATCACTAATTTGGGTGTAAAATCTGCCAGGCAAGACAAGCCAGCTTACAACAGCTGTGCATACTAGTGTGCTTGGGATGAAGTTTTATACATTTGTGTACAGGGGTCCTCTAGGATTAGTCACTCCGCAGCTCCCCACCCTTCAGGAGCTGACACAGGTTGACTAACTGTGGAGCTAGTGAGAAAACACCCATTCCTAATGGCTGGAGACTGCCCCCGCCTTTTGAGAACTGGCGAGGGGTGGGATACCTAGAGACAGGAAGACTTCTTTCTTCGATGAAGGAAGAGATGCACGCACCAGGCTTTCCCTTAGAGGGACTGTTTTCCTTTGCTTCTCATGGGCTCTTTGAAGAGATCCTGGTTTGTGAGGGAAGGTCAGAAGGGATAGGTCTAAGCTTTGCTTCCACACCATTTTCCAAAAATACCCAGCTTGACCCTTGGTGGCAGTCTCTGGCACAGACTGGGGCCATGTTTGTTCTGTTCTCCCCGTGTCCTCTGCTCTGTGGGTACAGCCACAGGACCTTAGAAGGGGATCCCCTCAGAAGGGGTTGGCTGAGGCCATTGGGAAGCCCAGGCCCTACCCATTTTGGATGTCTCCTCCTCAGGCCCTGCTCACTCTAATCTGAGGTAGAGAGGCCAGCAAACGCCTGCCCTTAAGGGGACAGGGTTAAATGTGTGACTTGATAAAGCTGAGAGCCACAAGTAATCCCCTAAGTACTTTGCCTTGTAACCTAAGATTATCTGGCCTGCAAACACCTGTTTTCGCTCCTTATGCTGATAGCAGTATAAAAAGCTCGCTGGTTAATGACTCTAGGAACTGACGAGGAGTGGAATGCACAAGCATTTGTCCCGTCTTGGAGTATCTCCTCAGGAGCCAGGTGGCACGTGCCACGCCCATTGCAAGGTTGAGGAAGGATTGGAAGGGCTCACCAAAGTTTCTATCCATATATAGTCATCAGGACCCAGGGGGGAAGATTTGAAGGTCAGGGTCAGGCTTTGGGGGTTCTTGAGTTACTTCAGCAGCTAACTCCCTTAGTGGACAGAAAGTCAGTCCTTTAACTCCCTAATCTGTAGACCCCCAGAGGCGCGGAGGGAGGCAGGTGGTCCAGAGGACCCAAGTTGGGAGGCGTAACTCTGGATGCCAGGCACATATGGTGCTCTCTGCAGTGGGAGCGAGCCTGGCATAGACTCTAGAGAAGCAGGGGAAGTGCCAACCCCGTGAACTGACCAATCATGTTCTAATCATTTAGAACTGCAAGTCTCTGCTGCGGGTGGCACAGAAGATGTTGGCAATTTGTTGGAGAATCATTTCTCTGCTGGAGATGCAAGTCTAGAGGAGAAAGAAAGGGCGCTTTATGCAGATGCGGCCCCTGGAGACAAGAACCTGCTCCTTCACTACCCAGACGGCAGGGAGGCTGAGAGCTTGGAGCAGACACCGGCAGGGGCCCCTTCCACTGCCAACGGCCAGGGCTCCGAATCCGAAGCTAGCCTGTCTAATACCTCAGCTGCAGAGTCAGCTCCATCTGGGGATACCGAAGGGCAAGGGGAGGAAGAGAAGGGCCCCGCAGCAGCAGGCACCCTTCCTCCAGGAGGGGAGGAGGGGCCAGAAGAAGAGAGGCCAGAGATTGGTTCCGGAGAGGAACCAGGACAGGAGGGGGCTGCCAGCGTGGGGGCAGAAGTACAAGAGGGGAGTAGTGGGGCTCCTGGGGAATTCCAGGGACTCTTAGGCGGTAGCCCCGCGGAAGAGGCAGCAGCAGGGACAACAGAGTCCACAGCCACCCAGGTTTCCCTTAGCGTAGAGGGTGAAGAGGATGATACAGCGGAGGCAAGGGACAAGGGCAACACAGGGTCTGGTCACCAATCCACAGAACTGGATGGAGTCCAGGATGCCACAGTTGCTGGAGATGAATCAGAGGCTGATATGGCTGCAGAAGTCAGGGAGGCAGAGGACCAGCCTCCGGGCCACAGCCTGCAGTCAGAAGAGGAAGCCATTGTAGGGCCCGATCACCAGGCCACTGACCTAGATGCAGTCTCTGACCACATGTCTTCTGGAGGAGAGGCAGGAGAAGCTGCAGAAGGAGCAGCTGACCAGAGCCAAGAAGTCGAGGCTAGCCCAGGGTCTGGTCACCAGCCTACAGAGCTAGTTACAGCCCTGGATGCCACATCTGCTGGAGAAGAATCAAAAGCTGAGGTGGATACAGAAGCTGGGGAGAAGGCTGAGGACCAAGGGGAACCTAGACCTAGCCAGGAGGCTGGCTCGGCTATAGAGGCCAATGAACAGTCTGGGGATACCCAGAGTTCCAAGGACAGGGAGACAGAGAACTACCTTCCTGAGGCCCAGGTATCAGGGACGCCTGAGGAGGGCCTGGCTGAGGCCTCCTCTGAGGAAGAGGGTGGTGAAGAAGGAGGAAGTGAAGAAGGAGGAAGTGAAGAAGGAGGAGCTCCGTCTAAGGAGGAGTCTGAAGAAGACAGCGGTGATGGAGCTAGCTCAGAAGAAGAGGGGAACGGCTCTGGGGAGGCTGGGGAGCCCCAGGAAGCAGCAGGAACCACAGAACATGAGGAGGAAGGCAACCCGCTTGATGTGGAAGATTTGGACGCGGGGTCTGAGGGTGGCAAGACCCAAGAAGCAGAGGCGGAGGCATCCAAAGAAAGACAGCAGGGGAGAGGGAATCCTGTAATTGCTCACCAGGGTAGGAATTCATTCCTCAAGGCAATCCCAGATGCATTCTTTACATTCTTACACATTCTTGTACATTGTGGGACAAATACGGGGTGTGTGATAACCTTTGGTTAGTTCTGGGTGTGTTAGGCAGGGCCCTGTCCCTCTGATCAGCCCAGTGAGCCCATGTAGGCAGTTCCTTAGCCATCCAATCTTTAGTGTGGATGGATCTAGCAGGAGGCTTCAGAAGGACCTGACCATTTCTGTGTTAGGACCAAGAGGGCTCCTCTTTAGGACTGGTATATGTGGGTCAGCCTTAAGGACAAGGGAACTGATGGCAGGTTTGCAATCCTGAGACTGGCTGGCGGAAGGAGGTGCAGGGAGTTGGCGGGGCAGGTTAGGAAGCACAGGGCACTCTTCTTCCATTGAGTCTGCTGGCGAAGACTTTCCACATAAAGTGTGAACATCAGGAATCAGGGTCAGGACCATGGTGTGAGAGCTGAGGCTGACTGCTCTCACATGCCCCTTTAGAGTAGGATAGCCCTCAAAGGACAGGGAAGGAGGAGGGCTGGGGCTGATGGGGGCGCCATGGTCAGGACCGGCAGACTTCATGTGGTATGTGTGGATAGAACAGAAGGTGGCTTGCAGGGCACAGGCTGGGTCCTGCTATCACCATCTCTTTTCCAGGTGGCTTTCTTACAGATTTCCTTAAGCCATTTCCCCCTTCGAGACAGGAGTTTATGTATTCCAGGCCAGGCACGACCTCATTGTGTAACAGTCAAGGCGGCCTTGAGCTCCTGATCCTCCTGCCTCAGTCTCTGGGTTACAGACACGCACCACACGCCTGACTTCTTGTGGAACTTAGTGGACTTTTTGTACTCTTTATGTACTTACGCTTTCTGTAAGGAGCAGTAAGCTCGTCCCCTTCTCTCTTTCCTAATCTGACCTGGGAGCAGGGACTGCCTGAGACGCTGTGTAAGACATGCAGATACTGGCCTCCCTCTACCCCACAAGCCTAAGCTACACCCTCCTAATCTAAGGTCCCTGAATAGGCAGCTTTGCTAGAAATGAGTGACCTCAGAGACCGGGGACCGTGAACAACATCCTTCCCGGGACTCATCAGGTATGGGTGTCTCTTGTTTGCTCAGTCATGGGCACAGCTGAGCTGGATGTGACTGCCAGCACAGACAGGTACAGTCACAGTCACACACCTGCTTCCTTCCATTTCCCATCCTTGCTATCCTGATGAGATGTTCCCGGTCCCTCAGTTGACCAATGGCTTTCTATGCCCTGGGAACAAAACGCAAGCCCCTGTGGCGGTATTTAAAAGTCAGCTCCTGGAGCGCCTAGGCCACTCCTTGCCAGGCACCCTATGCAACCCATCACAGAAAACTACTTTCGTTTCTTTACTAACTCTGGCTCAACAGCAGAAGTCAGGGAAGGGTTCCCTGCCCCCTCCCGCCTCACCCCCCAAACTGCAGACTTTCTTAGGCCCTCACAGCGGCTCTAGCCTCTTTGCTGCTCAGAATGACCACATTTTAAAGACAGTTCGTCAGCTCGTCTCCATTAGGCTGCAGGATGACTCGATAAGGGCAGGAGCCGTGCCTGTGTAGGTGTCCCTGGAGTGCCAGCATGCCAGCTGGCACCTGACATGTGGTATGTGTTCAATACATTTGTTTTATTTTTTGAAATAAGGTCTTGCTTATTTTTAAGCTAGACCGGCTTAGACCTTGAGAGTCACTTGTCTTGGCCTCTTGGCTGCTAGTATCACACATAGGTGTGTGTCACCGTCACCACACTCTAGGCTCAGCGCAGTTGGACAGAGGACTACAGTCAACAGGGTGGGGTGATAGTGTCCCACTGTCCTTGTTTGTTTTCTGTTGTGACAAAACACTGACCAAAAACAACTTGGAGAAGAGAACGCATTTGGCTTATAGGTTACAGTCCATCTCCTTGAGAGAAACTGAGGCGGGAACTGATGCCGAGATCATGGAGGAACACTGCTTACTGACTGGTTCCCTCGGCTTTGCTCAGCTAGCTTTCTTATACAGCCCAGGCCCGCCTGCTTAGGAAAGACACCGCCCACAGTGGGAGGGCCCTCCTCAGTAATTAAGGCAATCAGGACAATTCTTCTAATGAGGCTCCCTGCTCAGGCGACACTAATGTGTGGCCAGCTGACATTGAAACCAGCCATCGCAGTCACTGAAATGCTCACTGCACAGCTGTGAGGACCAGAGTTTGATCTCTGCTTCCTATGTAAAAAGCCAGGGGTGGTGCTGTGCTCTTGTAATTCCAACACTGTGAGCAGAGACACACAGATCCTTGGGGCTCACAGCCCAGCTGAGCCGAGTTGATGAGTAATGACAGACTTCGTTAAAAATAAAAGACAGGTAAATAAATAAGCAAGGTGGGTAGATCTGTAAGAACGACATTAGAGATTGATCTCTGACCTCCATATAGTCCCCCACACATATGCACGCTCCTGTACACTTCCACATACATGAAGACACACACACAGATCATGGGTCTTGAAAGTTGTATTTACATTTCAAATTCATTCAACTTGGCAACTTTGCTCTCTGTGAGGCTTACAAGTCTACTGATTTAGATTTGCTCTGACCCTACACTGTCTGCTTTTCTTTCCAGAAGAGACGGAGGATGTGAGTGAAGAGGCTCCCCTGAGGGACCGCTCCCATATTGAGAAAACCCTGATGCTGAATGAGGACAAACCAGCTGACGACTACACAGGTACCCGGGGAAGGGATATGGGCTGGGACCCAGGGCACCAGAGCTCTGTAGTTCTGAGGCCAGAGGGGACCACAAAGAAGGGGAGAACCCTGGGCAAGGTGGGTATGTGAGGTAACTCTGTAAGGATGGGGGACAAAGAAGATAACCAAGCAGAGGGCACCAGTGTCAGAAAAGAGGGTGAATTCCAGAGCCATCATCTGTAGGGTGCGCCCCACCACCCCACCACCCTACCATCCCACCACTGTCCTTGTGGAGAAGAGAGGATGGTTTATAAGAATCCATTCTATCTGCTTTGGTTTTTAGTTTACAAACTCTTTCATATTTATGTTTTACTTTGCCCCCACAATGAACCAAGGATTCAATGTGGGCTTGTTATCTTTTCTTTTTTTTTAATTTTTTTATGTTTTCTTTATTATTTATTATGTACACAGTGTTCTGCCTGCATGTACACCTGCAGGCCAGAAGAGGGCACCAGACCTCATTACAGATGGTTGTGAGCCACCAGGTGGTTGCTGGGGAATGAACTCAAGACCTTTGGTAGAACAGTCAGTGATCTTAACCTCCGAGCCATCTCTCCAGCCCTTGTTATCTTTTCTTAATTGATTAACTAGCCAGGCACAGCTTAATACAGCAATTTGCTCTTGGCACAGAGCCAGAGAAGGGCAGTGCAGGGACTAGAACCTTACTGGTCGGATTCTTGCTTCCCATACTGTCCTCTTGTGCTACACACACCCCACAAATTCTCAGTTGCACCCTAGGTTTCTGCTCCCCCAGAACATGGGGCATGGCTGAATCCCCCAGTAAGCATTGTGCCACAGGCCTGCTGGGCACTCTAGAGACCTTGGCAGCACCAACAGAGGCGCAGACGTGACATTCTCATCTCCCAAGGACAGAACTTTCAGTTTAGCTTTTCTGGATGCACCGTTGATGTGAGGAAGGAAGAGAGTATTAGGGTTTAAATTTAATTTTTCTTGAGACAGTGTCTCATGTAGCTCAGGTTGGCCTCAAACTCCCTCAGAGGAGCAGAGGATAACCTTGAACTCCTGACCTTCCTGCTGTCACAGGTGTGTGCCGCCACACCATTTTTTTTTTCCTGTTTTTATGGGACTAGGGATTGAACTCAGGTTTCTGTGCTTGTGCATGACAGGTAAGCACTTTGCCAACTGAGCCATATACCTGCCCAAGAATAAGCCTATTACTATTATTATTATTGTGACAATGTCCCACTATGTAACCTGGTTGCTTGGAACTTGCTGTGTGGACCAAGATGCTACTGGAATCACAGAAACCCATTCACTATGTCTCTTGAATGCTAAGATTAAGAGTGTATAACATAGTGCTTGGCCAAGAATTAATTTTTGCTCTGTTTCTTAAATACCTCAGGAGGTTTTGCAGATTGGGTAAAAAATGTTTTTGTTGAGGATTTATGAGGGTGGGATGGGGACCAGTTCCTTCTTAAACACAATCATGTCACGATCTTGGACTGCGATGGCTTTCCTCACAGGCAGAGCTAGGGGCTCTCAGGGTGCGAGGTGGCCCTAGAGTGAGGAGCAGCAGGGGTGAGGGTGGAGTGGAGGGGGTGGCCTGCCTGACGCTCACTCCCTGCTCCTTTCTCCCAGCGGTGCTGCAGCGGCTGCGGAAGATCTACCATACGTCCATCAAGCCCCTGGAGCAGTCTTACAAGTACAATGAGCTGCGACAGCATGAGATCACAGGTACAACTTCACGACCCTGAACTGGGCTCTGGCCCTTTACCCACGCACACCTCTCTGGTGCCCACATAGGCTCACGAGATTCATGTGTGGTCTGTGCTAGGTCCAGGAGGAGTGGAGGACAGGAACTTGGGCCTCGGAAGTGGCCTTCCCTAGAGCAGAGAGTGCTCAGCACTCTAAGGCGGTGACAGATTTCATTGTCAAGCACTTTGTCTCAGCAGTAGGCATTTTGATTTCCAGGATGTAAGGCCTATGAGATCCCTCGTGGGCTCAAAAGCCACCAGGCTCCCTATTCACACGGGCCTCCATATGACCGTATTTCCTGCCTCTCTGGGAAGTTCCTTTGGGCCTGGGTGACGATGGTGATGATTTTTTTGTGTATGTATTTTTTTGAGACAGGGTTTCTCTGTGTAGCCCTGGCTGTCCTGGAACTGTTTCTGTAGACCAGGCTGACCTCAGACTCACAGAGATCTGCTTTCATCTGCCTCCCAAGTGCATGTGCCGCCACCCCTGGCTGCTGCTGTTGATTTCTGGGACAAAGTCTCACCGTGTAGCTCATGCTGGCCTTGAACTTGGGAAGCTCCTGTCTTAGCTTACTGAGAGTTGGCTTTACACATACGTTCTACTGCACTCAGCATAGGACCTAGATTCTTTTAAAACTTGGCTTTTGAAATAATAAAAGTAAAACATCCTTGTTTCAATTGTATTCAAATAATATAAAATAATATATACTGAAACAAAGTCAGGCATGATGGCATATAACCATAATCCTAGATTTGGGGCGGCAGAAGCAGGAGTTATAATATTGTGGACAGGTCAGGCTACACAGTGAGTTCTGGGCTACTACATGGGAAGACCTGTTTCCAAAACACCCCCCCCACACACACATATACTCACACACATACACTCACACACATACACACACATATACACTCACACACTCACACATACACATATACACTCAATACATACACTCACACACATTCACACATACACATGCACTCACACACTCATACAGACATACACTCCCACACACACATACACACACACACACAATTTCTTTCTTGATCTTCAATCTATCTAATTCCACTCCCGGAAACACCCACTCAGTTTCCTGTTATAGTGCTCAAGAGTACAGGAAGTAATAGGATCTTCCAGACAATTATTCTGTATCTATGAGCATAGAAATGACTTTTTCTTCTTACATATATGAAATCATATTATGCCAACTGTGCATACATGTGTGTTTATACATATACATGTATGTGCACGCATGCATGACCCTCCATTATTCTTTATTGAGGAATTTTGACCCTGTCTTCTAAGAACACGCCAGGCTCTGTACAACTAGTGTCTAATTTCTGAGGGACAATAGGTGCTTACCCTGTTCTATCTTAAAAAAAAAAATAATGGGGCTAGTAGCTGTGTGTGGTGGTGCACACCTTTAGTCCCAGCACTCAGGAGGCAGAGGCAGGTGGATCTCTATGGGTTTGAGGCCAGCCTGGGCTACAGAGTTAGAGCAGGAGAGCAAGAGTTTAAAAAGTTATCCCTCCCCACACTGTGTGGGGCTGGCGAGGTGGCTTGGCAGGCAAAGGTACTTGTCTCCAAGGCTGATGCCTGAGTTCGGTTCCTGGACTCCATATGGTGGAAAGAGAGAATCAATCCCTGAAAGTTGTCCTCTGACCTCGTACACACACCGCACTGTGCACACTTACACACATGCAAACATCATTATGTGCACATAAGATAAATTAAAAAATGTAGTGCTCCAAGCCTGGGCATGTTGGCTACGCCCGGAGTTCAGCACTGGGCAGGCTGAGGCAAGAGGATCGCTGAGCATTTAAAGCCAGTCTGGGCTACAGAGTGAATTCAGGCCACCCCCAGCTTTAGAGCGAGATGCTGTCTGGGAAAAACTGAACTTAAAACATTTCAAACACTAGTATAATCACTGCATGTTTTGTGCACAGATATTTGTAGGACGAGGGGCCAACAAGATGGCTCAGGGGGTAAAAGCACCCTGATAACCTACATGGAGGAAGGAGAGAACCAACTCCTACAACTTACCCTCTGAAATATTCCAGCTCCACAAATAAATGTTTAAAAAATTAACATGGAACACTAGAATTAAGTATTTTGATCATTGTTGCAAATTCACCTTGAAATACTCTAATCTGTACTCACAGAACGTACCAGACAATTTGTGTTATACCACAGTTTGCCGCTTTTAAAAGTGTTACTCATTTTTTTGCTGTGCTAGGGCTGCACTTCAGACTCCAGACACGCGAAGGTGCCCTGTCACTGTCCTATAGCCACAGCTAATCTCACTCATATTTTAACGCTTTTGTAATTGTTATTTTTTTTCTTTTCAGTTCTGGGGATGGAACCCAGGGCCTTGAGCATCCTAGGCAAGTGCTCTACCACTGAGCCATAACCCCAACCCTTGTTTTAATTGTGTATGGTATCACAAATCTCTCCCTGCGTTACTTGGCAATTTCCATATCCTAATGCCTATTGGATAGCTGTGGTATCTGAGGGCAAATATAGCCCCGCTTTACAGGAAGGAGCCTGATGCCAGGTAGTGCTGGTTGCCCTGGCCAGGACCGTGATTCTCTTCCATTCCTCGGGGTACCCTGTTCTGTCACTTCTACCATTCTCACAAGCCTGCGAGTCAGCGGTCCTCTTCTGCTTCTCAGAGGACATGCAGAGCCTGGAATGAGGTTACGGAATCTCCCAATGGCCTTCTTCTGTCCTCTGTCTTTGCCTTCTTCTTCTTGCCCTTCTCTGACAGCAAGAATGGCCTTCCTGGGGAAACTCCAGACTTAAAGCCTCAGTGGCCAAGAGGTTGCCAACTGCCCCAGGACTGGTTCTCAGCAAAGGCCAATTGGCTCTTTTATGGCTTCCCTTTCTGGACTTGGCTTCTCCGCCCTAATCTCTTGCCAGCTTCCTGCATGACCCCTAGCCTTCAAGCTTATTACTGGCCTCCCACATATGTTCATGATATGTCCATGATGCCCCCTGCTGTGCAGAGTTGGAACAGCAGCACCCGGAAGCCCTGTCTGAGAAGTCACTGGCTTTTTGAAAATCTCTGTTACTGGACGTACCCCTACGGACCTGCTCATCCATCTTGTTCCAGGCTGGAGGGCCTCTCATGTTTATTTGCAGGCAGGAGGGAAGGGGCCAGGCCATGGATACATCCTCACCATGCACAAGACACCATCTTCCAGGACTTTATTTACTTCAGAGAAACAAAAGCCATGCATCCAAAAGAAAGGCACAGAAGGGCAATCATGCTATATACTGTACAAAAACAATGACCTGGGATATCTAAAATATTGATTATACACATCAAGACAGTTGGGTAAATGCCAGCAATTAGCAATGCTGCTCAGTGTAGTGGCAAATAGAGTCCAGATGCTCTAGAGGCTGAGGTAGGAGAATTACTGGATTCTTCAGCCCAGGACTTTGAGATCATCCTGGGCTCAAAATAAAAATAAATAAATAAATAAATAAAAAAGCCCCTAGCATTAGTTACCTACTAGAGAGGGTGTTATGACCCAGACAGAGTGGGCCATTTTTACTTCAGACTTTAGAATCAAAACATACAGAATTACAGGAAATAAATGAAAAAGAAGTTTAAAAGGAGACCTACAATTTGAGGACTATCTGCAAATTCAGGAAGGCCAAAGTCTGGAGAATGTAGGTGTGCAGTAGACATCATTCAGAGAACTGAGAGGAGCAGAATCAACAATAAGACAAATCATTTCTCTGTCCAGAGGCTCTCGCTCTCTATTTTGCCCCCATTCATTTTTAGTTTATGTTTGCAGTACTAGGGATTGAACCAGGGCCTCACACATACTATGCAAATGCTCTGCCACTGAGTTTCCTCCTAAGCCCCCATCCCTATTTCTGAAAACACTAAAGAATTCCATTTTCTCCCAGCTGAGTAGCCATGGTAGGATGTGCTTCCCAGCATGGTGTCAGGGAGGACCTTGGTCTCAGCGCCCAAGTAGTTAAGGATCCTAGTTTTCAGTGTTTGGTTTCAGACCCTAGAAGGCTTATCGTGAACTTTGGAGCAGGTTATCTGAGACTAGGATACTTGAGCTTGAGATGGGGATTTGGGAAGCCACAGTGGAGAGGAGGGGAAACTACAGAGCCTGGAGCATGGATGGAGCTCACTGTGCATGCCTCTTCATGTCCTTTCTTCTCTTGTTATTGGTCTGCAGAGCAAAATTCAGTCTTTCTCAGTGTGAAGCTCCGTCCTTTGTATGACCCATTCGTCTCTCGATTTAGGCAGGAGACTGCGCCCAGCGCGAGCACTGAGCCAGTATGTATTAATCCACTTGGCTCTTCCTTCTGGTGCAGGCAGATGTGCCAAGGATCTGGAAAAGGTCAAAATGCTCCTGGTGTCTTTTGAGCAAACGTTCTCGTAAAGCAAGAAAGTCACTGACCGCTGCACAGCTTGATCCACAGGGAACCCCCAAGCAGCTGGATGACAGTGGGGAATGCAGAGCGCTTTGGGGAGCAGGGCTGCTCCTACAGTGAGGACTGATGCTAGTTCACTTCCGTTTCTAACTCTTGCTGTTGTAGATGGAGAGATCACCTCCAAGCCAATGGTGCTGTTCCTGGGACCGTGGAGCGTTGGCAAATCCACCATGATAAACTACCTCCTTGGGTTAGAAGAAACTCGCTATCAGCTTTATACAGGTGAGAATCTTGGCGGGGGGGGGGGGGGATGTGGGCATCATCCGAGTCTGCATCACCACCCTCCTGGTATGGACCGCGACTCCATATCACCTTGAGCTGGGCAAGGTCCTAGGGGTTAAACACAAGACATACATACAGAGTCCGAGTCATTCGCCAAGAGGTGAATGCCAATTTATTCAGCTTTATCCAGGGTTAATATATCCTTTTGCCCCAGTAAAGGAAACCCCTCTCAGCCAGGAGTGAGATCACAGCATTGATCTCACTGTGTGACAGGTTCTTCCCAGGTAGGGGGTACCGGACTGGGAGCTGTGACAGACAGTTAGGAGAGCGTTAGGCACCATGAGAGCTCCTCTGGGCAGGTGGGAAAATTACCATACCAATAAGATAAAACAAGGCCCTAGGTTAATTTACTAGGCTAACAGAGCAGAGCACAGAATTTAGCAGGAAGCTTTAGCTGGTTAGCTGGTTAGCCAAAACAGTCCTTGATTTGCATCCCAGGGAGCAAGGGAAGGCCCAGGCCCTACAGGGGGAGTGTTTAAATGGTTAAAGCAGATGAATAATCAAAGCACTTGTAAGCCCTTAATAATATTAACCAACATGACCAGTAAGAACCGGCAGTTCTTCCGCCTCCATGGCAGCATTATTCATAAAAGTCCCAAAGCAGAAACAACTCCTGGCCACCGCTGGACAAAGGAATAACCAGGTCGCAGCCTGTGCAGCCAGTGGAGCGCTAGCTGAGAGAGGGACGCTGCCTGTGCAGCCGGTGGAG